TATTCCAGCTAACCTTTCAATTGATGAATTCGTTTATTATTTACCAATGTTGTCATGAATATAATTATGAATATGAATATCATGTATGACTGATTGACATAAATTAAAAAATGTGATATGAATATAATATAGTTGGTGATTTTGTCACTTAGTAATTATTATTTAATAACCAAAAATTAATATTTTTTTCTGGAACTATCACATGTATTACATTTTTTCAAATAATTTCTACACTTAAAAATGGATATAGCAAAAATAATGAGAAACCAAATAATCTTACATTATCTTTATTATAATTAATAGATACATGTTAACATTTAATATATACATGTATGTTAATAAACATGTTTGTTTTTAGTTACTATTTACTAACTTATTTAACACATTTCTTAAGGTATATCAATTTAAGCATCCTAAAGTACCAAAACCTACTAGTTTGCGAATATATGAATGTCACGTTGGAATTTCCACTTCAGAATACAAAGTTGGAACTTACCAAGAATTTAAAGATAAAATGTTAGATCGTATTCTGGATTTAGGTAAAAACCAACCTTATATAAACAGGTAATAAATATAACTTAATTAAAAATATATATGTTTTATATTATTCAAGGATATAATGCAATTCAAATAATGGCAATTATGGAACATGCATACTATGCTTCTTTTGGATATCAAGTGACAAGTTTTTACGCTGCTTCAAGGTGACTTTATTAGTGATATATCATCAATTATAATACCACGATGTAGTATTAATGTATAATTGTGCACATATTAGGTTTATTGAAAAAATAAAATGTTTTATTTCTATTTCACAAATATTTACTGTCCTATTTATTAGATCATTTTATTAATGTAATGGTTAAGTAATAAAGTAAATTTTAATTTCAGTCGTTTTGGAACACCAGAAGAACTAAAAGAATTAGTTGATGTTGCACATAGTAAAGGTTTATATGTTATGTTAGATGTTGTACACTCACATGCATCAAAAAACGTACTGGATGGTTTGAATCAGTTTGATAGTACAGATGCTGGTTATTTTCATAGTGGACCTAAAGGATGTCATCCTCTTTGGGATAGCAGACTTTTCAATTATTCTGAGTAAATAAATTTTTATATTTTAATTAATCAAAGTTAAATGTATGATTATTATTTAATTAATAGGTATGAAGTGTTACGATTTTTATTGTCAAATCTGCGATGGTATATTGAAGAATATAATTTTGATGGCTTCAGGTAATAAAATCATATAATATAAGTATAAGACGTTATTAAATTGTATTTGTTTCAGATTTGATGGTGTTACGTCTATGTTATACCACTCTCGAGGTGCTGGTCAAGGATTCAGTGGACATTATGATGAATATTTTGGTCTTAATGTTGATACTGATGCATTGATTTATTTAATGTTGGCAAACTATGTACTCCACAAATTTTATCCCAATTGCATTACAATAGCTGAAGTAAATGATAGTTAAAAATTCATAAAGTTCATGTTTTTAACGTACAATTCTTTATGACAAATGTAGGATGTATCTGGAATGCCTTCATCGTGTCGACCTGTAAGTGAAGGAGGACTTGGATTTGATTATCGTTTAGGAATGGCAATCCCTGATATGTGGATTAAGCTACTAAAGGAGGTTAAAGATGATGATTGGAATATGGGAAATATTGTACATACACTTACAAATAGAAGATGGATGGAAAAAACAGTTTCTTATGCTGAATCTCATGACCAGGTTTATATTATATTAAAGTTGTTTTTATTAATAACTTTCAAAACATTATGATAATCTTAGTTATGTTTAATATTTTAATATTTTTTTTCTTAAATAGTTAATTAAAATGCTTCTTTTAAATACTTAATTGGTAGTAGATAATGTTTAATGTTTCAAAAAATTTACTTGATAAGGAATAATTTAAAAATACAAATATATAATTATTATATACGTACACTTATCCAGGCTCTTGTTGGAGATAAAACAATTGCATTTTGGTTAATGGATAAAGAAATGTATACACACATGTCTATTACAAGTGATCCATCTTTAATTATTGATCGTGGAATAGCATTACATAAAATGATTCGATTGATCACCAATAGTCTTGGTGGTGAAGCATATTTAAATTTTATAGGTAAAGTATTATTAAATTGTAACGATTCAAATATTAGTTAACATTTTTTCTAATACAATAGGTAATGAATTTGGTCATCCAGAATGGTTAGACTTTCCTCGTGATGGCAATCAAAGTTCATATCACTATGCGAGACGACAATGGAATTTAGTTGATGATGAATTATTAAAATATAAGTTTTTAAACAATTTTGATAAAAGTATGAATCATTTAGAAAACCAATATGGATGGTTAAATGATAATCCTGTAAGTATTTTAATATTATAATTGTAAATAGATAACATTTTATTTAAAAATTAAATGTTAAATATTGTAGGGATACGTAAGTTTAAAGCATGAAGATGATAAAATAATTGCATTTGAAAGAGCTGGTTTATTGTTTGTATTTAATTTCCATCCAACCAAGAGTTTTACAGAATACAAAATTGGTTTAAATTTGTCAGGTTCATTAAAAATAGTTTTAAATAGTGATAATGCAGAATATGGTGGACACAATCGCATTGATAACAATATAACATATCCAACTATCAATGGCGATTGGAGCGGTAGACAAAATCACATTTTTGTAAGTAAAAATATTTTAAAAGGTTTAATTTGATGATTAGCTTATATTTTATATAGTATTATCAACTTTAACATTTTATTTTTTATATTTATTTTCCTTTAAAACCAATAGTATTTAGCTTGGAGGTCAATTAATTAATTTATTTTAATGAGAAAAAAATCAATATTTTCAAGAATAAACAAGTTGTTTTTAATTAAAAACTATTACACACTGTAAAATAAACAATTAAATAATTAAATTATAATACACAAAAAAAAAAAAAAAATCATATATACAAATCATAAACACTATTTTCTAAGTATTATGGAATATTAAAAACTGTATAGATTTTTTTAAATTAATATGTTGGCAAGTGTATAACTATCACATCTACTGTTATGTTTAACATTCAAATTTAAAAAAAAAAAAATTAAAATATTCATTTAAAAACAATATTTATATATTATTAGGCTTTATAATCCTTAAATATTATATGATATTATTTTTAAATCTCTAATTGGCACAGTTTTTTAAAGAATTTTTATTTTTTGTATATGTTGTAAACGTTTAGTAAATATTTAATATATTCTTAATATATTTAACTTACTTTAAATCTTAGTACATCATTGAGTAAGTTTGTTTTTAGGTAGATTAGATTAAACTAAATTAAAACAAATTACTTTAAAGTAATAACTATAGATTTATCACAAGAGAATCAAAATTTTTGTACCACTCAAAAACTGTCGACTCAATTATTTAATAATATTTTTTTTAATGTGTTGGATAAAATTAAATAACAATTTTATTCAAATTTAATAAAAATTGATTATTATTTCAATAACTAAGTATTACTTTTCTTTTTAAGTTGCACCTATCTTTTTTTTTTTTTAAACAAACATAAATTGTTAATGTATTTGATGTATATTGTCAAAACATTTAACAAACCGCATATGTTAAATGGTTTATTTAAAATTTAAAAAAAAAAAGAATATTTAACTAGTAGTTACTTATTTCCACGTTTCTTATTAAATTAATTAATGCTAAGTATAATTTTAAATTGTTTATTTATTAGATTTTTTTCTAAATTTTACAGCTTTATTTGCCGACAAGAACTGCACTCGTTTTTTCCATGTCAAATTGAATCACTGAAATTATACTGGCCTGCTTTATCTTAACAAGTTATGATATAATTATTACTCAATTTTTACAAAATTAATATTACTTTATATATTTTGTATTTTTATTCTGAAGAGTTAAATTAAGAAAAAGTTTGATTTTTGTTCTTTAAAGAAAATTTTACCAAATCTATATCTGTTTGAAAATATATTTAAAATCCATTTATACTAATTATTATTTTTACTATTTGTGGAATAATTAAAAGAAATATCTACTTAATAGTTTACCAATATTAAGTCAACATTGAATAGTAAAATTTTACATAAAGGTTATAAAATTACTTATGATTAACTGAATATTTGTATATTAGTAGTTATATGTTTTTCCTCTAATATTTATTTATATTGTTATTGAATAATTTGATATGTTTTTAATAGAACTACAATAATTTCCATTAAAAGAAAAGTTTTAAAATTTAGCGTATATTAGTACAATACGTATCATGAGCTAATATAAAGAATGCAATTAAGAGTCTGAGTGACTGTTATGGTGATACATAAATCTTTATATATCTTTATATTATCTATATATATATATATATATATATATATATATTTTTTTTTTCATAATATGTATTCTTGGATCATACTACCACTAGCACCTTTATTATAGATTATATATTCACAGAGCTGGTTTTTGTTTATAAAATATGACCATATCATAAATTATTTGGAAGATAATAATTTGAAGATGTAATTTTTATGGTAACTTGTCCAAGGTATTTGAGTCAAAATCTTTAATACAATAACAATCATGTTATTTGATGACTTTAAGATTTATTATGATGTTAAATATAAAGTATATAGCATTTAATTTTTTAAAAAAAAACATGCCTTAAAATTTAAGAATAATTTCCATAATTGTACAACATAAAATCAAGTTAACAGAATATGAGCAATGCACTATATACTTTGATAACAATTATAAAATGCAAAACATCATTCTTACATTACATTATCAACCATAATTTTTAGAATATCATTTAATTTTAAAGCTTGCCTTAAAAAAATTAGATGCACGGTCTAGGAACTTTTTGATATTTAGTATGCCAAGAAATTATTTTGTAATATTTAATTAATTAAGTACGATCAAAATAAAAGTTTCGTAATAACCCAATTATGAATTAAAATCAATCTCAAATGATCATTTTTTACATTCAATATGAAGTCTTTACCAGTAAATATGATTAATATATACTTACTATTATTCACTAAAATTTACTACTTATCTATTTTGAGAATACAATTTAAGTCTTGTCAAGCGAATACATATATAAAAATATGGAGGTTTAACTCGCTGGGTTGATAATGTTATCAATTCTTGAAGTCTAATTTTTTACCGTTTCATCTGGCTTATCTACAGAAACAATCTCATTAGACGACACATTATTATGCCTTAATTGAGAGTCTTTTTGATCTTTATCAGCAGTAGAAGCAGCACTATCAGCAACTGATGTCTTTTTAATGAATGATATTAGATCCTTTTTTGGTGGTATAATAGGCTTATTAGGAGGTACTGGAGGTGGTGTCCCACGTCCCACAGCTGTCATCTGTTTCTTAAGTAATCCAGTAACATTACTTTCGGCTGAATTAGGAACCGACATGTTACGTTGAATACCAAACAATGATTTTTTGACTGTACTAGTTGATCCAGATTCCGATTGCATAGTACGACCAAAAGAAATGGGGTGTTTTTTAATGGTGTCTAAAGGTGTAGAACAATCTTCTTCGTCTTGAGGTTTATCAACCTAAAATATACAGTTTTAGTATTATAAAATTTATTAAATGTCACATTCAACAGTTGAAAAGTGTATCAAAGTACCTGTGTATCATTAGTTTTACCACTAATTGGTTTCAAACAACGCAAACTTTGACCAGGGTTTACAGATCGAGCAATTCCAGTCACTAAAACACATAAAAAAAAAATGTATTACAAGTTATCAAAAAAATAAATAAATAAATAAATACATTTAATAATATATTCATTAAAAATTGAAAACAATATGGAATTAAAGTGAGATATTTTTATTTTAAACTATCATAGATAGTTCAGTCAAATTCTAACGAAAAATTCAATATTAAGTAATTTAAGTTTTAGTGCTAAAAAAAAAAAGTGTCTTTATTTAGATTTAAATGCCATTGAAAATATGAGATATTTAAAAAGATTATATTTTATTCAAATCCTGAATAATTTTGTCAAAAAGAGTTAACCGCAAATCAAATTTAGGTTTTAATACAATTTTATACACATGATATGATGCCCCAGATAATATTTTTATTTTTAAGATTAATAATAGGTAAATTAACTCTAATATTAAAGCTAACAGCAAAAATAGATTGTATAGAACACAAATTTGCTACATTGTAAATTAGTAAAACAGGAACAACACACAAATTTAGCTTTGATTTTTTTTTTTTTATTATTATTATTATTGAACAGATATAAAAATATGATACGTAAAATACTCGGTTAAAAATAAATATTTTAATTTTAAATGTATTTTTACATACTCATAATTGTAAAAGCAATTTTTCAATTCAAATCCAAAAATAGATTTTTAAAAATTTAAACTTTAGTAATAGTTAATAATTAATATAATTTAATAGATTTAAATATTTTTTATTTAAATTTTCATAAATAAAAATTTTATCCAAGAAAAGTTTAAAAATATTTTTAAAGTTTGTTTAAAAAATACATATAAATATTTATGTAAAAAAAATACTTAATGTATTTATATTTATATTTATTTTATACACTAGGATAAAAAGAATATTTTTTAATAGAATACTAATAATGATCACGATTCCATGTATATACTATTAAGTATACTTAATAACTAAATAGAATCAAATAAAAATACTCTATTTTTAAATTAAACTTCAATTTATTATTTAACCCATATAACTGAAATCATATTATGTGTAAATGTTGCTTATCTACTATTTTACTTTAATATCATATTTCACAATATAATTCCATATTATGACTTAAAAGTTGTAATTTGCTATTTGATTAAATACTATGAAGTTCTCATTATAAAATGGTATATCAAATAAAGTATCATAAAAATTACTTGGACCAGAAACTCGAACACTAGATGCAGTTGCTGTAGGTTGAACCACTTTTGCAACGCTACTTGTAATTGGATCACTAGGGGAAGACATAATTCTAACACCTGTAATCACAAAAATACTAATAAAAATTATGTAATAAAATAATAAAATATTAAAATTTAAATAAACACAAAAATATACGCTAACAGTCAATTTAGTCCAGAAGCTATAAATAATCTTGATCACATTCTTCATCAAAATTAGATATAACCATATAATATTTAGGAAATAATCCACTTTTTTTTTAACATATTACATTATTACATGTCCGCTTATATATACAAACCCTTTCTATATACCCATGAAGTTTATATAAATAAATTTATAACAATGACTAGAGCTATAAATAAAACTTTTAAATAAAAATATTTAAAATTTTGAAAATAAACTAGCAAATGTAAAAATATAAATAATTTACTATCAAAAAATTTTCTGAGCATTGACCATAACATTTTAATGAAGAAAAAATATTCGGGTTAATAATTCAAATTATACTTAAGAAAAAATAATTAAAATATTTATTCAACAAGAGGACATTACAACTGTTGTTATTATCTCCTATACTTGTATAGTTCATTAGTGCATAATATAGCAAATCTACACTCCGCAATTCATGTTTAGTTTCACTAAATTTTAACATCAAAATGAATCAACCTATTATGAAACTTAATAATAAGAACTACTTCTATATTTATATGTAGGTTTTATACAATAATTAAATTTTATTATCTAGTTATATGTACATACAGCAGTTTAAAAATGCTCATAATTGACTTAAAAAACTAACATATGAACACAGATAAATTCTAAGTATTAAGTTTCATAATAGGTCAATTCACTTTAATATTGAAACTAACTAGTTAATGTGAACTATTAAACATAGTTTTGCCATATGATACATTTCTTAGATGAAGACAACAAACGTGGATGAAGCATCCTCTTGATGTAATATTTAAAATTTATTTGTTGACACATATTTAATACATTGAGACTTAGTAGGCAGATTCAATTTATTATTTATCTTACATTATATAGAATTGTTTTAAAATAATTTAATATGGCATTGACCTGTGGTAGTCATAATAGCAAAATTAATTTTACCAGAAAAATTATATAGGTAGTCTTGATAAATTATAAGAACTGATTTTGTTGAACTTTAATCAAATTGGTAACTACGTTCATATAAAACCAAATAAATACAATAACAAAAAAAAAAAAACATTATTTTATAGACAACAAAACCTTAATTTCAATTCTGGTTTAGTTTTTAAATATTTAGATAAAATCTATAAAATAATATGTTACAATTATAATAATAAATGTAGAGTTTTAAATTTAAAATATTTTTAAATTACCATTTAAATAATAAGTACATTATATTAAACAAAACTGGTGTTAAATAAAGATAAGTTTAAATGATTACCTGAAGATCTATTGGAAAGCTCCATCAAATTATTATGAAGTGCTTCACTTAGTTCTTTTTCTAATGAAACAATTTCATTTCGACATTTTGTTAATTCTGCTTCTAAAGCACTTGTTCTAGAACATTAAACATTAATATTTATATAAATTTATACAATCTGTTTTACAATATTACTAAGGCCTCTCTTTAAACTTAGATTAGATAATGATAAGCGTATTTAAGAGAAATATTTAATAATCATCAAGTAAATAGCAATAGCTAATTCCTTGATTTCTTTTTACAAGAAGTTGCAAATCCGCTGACCATCCAAATAATAGAATTTTCCCAATATATCATTACTGCTATGAGACTAGTACTGGGTGATGTACAGATTATAAAATGTTTTCGTCATTGCCAGGTTGTAGTGATTTATACCCCAAAAAATAGTGTCTAAAAAATTTTAAGCAATTTACTTTTTTTCTTCTGAGCTTAAAGCTGCCATCATTTTTTTGCTTTCTGTATCAAATAATGCCATTTGTTTTTCTAATTCTGCTTCCATCTGTAATGACTTTTTACTTTCTTCTTCCAACCCTTCGGCCATTGAATCAATTTTACTTTTTTCTTCACTTAATATCTAAAATAAGATTTAAAATACTTTCTAAAGAATTTTTACTTATTATTTTAGTTTTATAAATTATTTTAAATGCTGATTAGCAATAGGCCAAAATCATAAATTTTTTAAACACAATAAATAAATGTAAAAAAAGAATAAAAATAAAATTAATTGGAGTTGTATGAATAAGATACCATCTATTAGTAGCAATTAACTTGAAATTTATGTTATTATGAGATTAAGTTAAAAGATCTCAGCATCATTTTTTTTTTTTTTTTTTTTTTTTGAATCTTTGACAGAAATTTCCAAGAAGTGATTGGATATATAAGATCTATATCTTCTAATCTAATATAAAATTGCTTATAGAAAACAGCCAGCTTTTTCTACTACTGTTTTGATGCCTATGTCTTTATAAAGGATCAGGTAAGAGACAAATATTGGAGCATTTCTAATTTATATGGAAAACAGTTATTAATATTGAGAGAGATCTAAGTACTAAAATTAATAAAGATAAAATAATAAATAATTTTGGTATGTTTTTAATATAATTATTTAAAAGTTATATTAAAAATTTGTGTTTAATTTTCTTTATTAATATTTTATTATAAATACTCGTAATTAATAAAATAATAAATAATAAGGTAGCATAACAAAAATGTAAGAATGGAGCTGTAGGAAAGTGGTGTGGAGGAAGTCACCTATAGGTCATTTTGGTCAACATCATTTAGCACTCCCATAAATTTAATCTACGTAAATAAATTGCGCATAAGACGCTACTCATTTGGTACCGCCATTTTACAAACATATAAAACATGATGAATTGTACACAGTTATATATCCAACATATTTTATCAATCAAAAGATTTCAGTGTACATTGTCCTATAGCTTGTATGAAAACGTTTTACGTTAAATAAAAAAACATAAATAATACTCTAATTTTTAAATTTTATAATAAATTAATTTACTATAATATAAAATGGATTCTTCAAAATGCAAATGTTTTGTAAGACAGATACAACACTTATGGGCGGGCATACATCGTTTTAATATAAAAGAAAACCTACCCATATTATTGGTAGTATTTATATTATATTGTTATATATTTGTCAACAAATAATTATTAAATAATTTTCTGGTATTGAGATAGATAATAACAATTTATAAGGCAGAAAAATAATAATAATAATTGTAGTAAGGAAAATAAGCATTACCTGTCCAAGATCTTCAGAACGTTTTCTTTCTTCAATATATTTCATTACAATTTTTTTTCTTTCAGCTAGTAAAAAAAATACGATTTGTTTATGTTTTAATCGTTCCTCTTCATAAGTATTGTGCAACTTTTTGTATTCAAATTGTAACTGTTGTTTTTTTAATCGCTCTAGATCCAATATCTAAATTAAATACATTCAAAAAAATAAAATGATTAAACATAACAATTGTGTTTATCAGAAGTTCTCTAACTTAAATTTTCGCGTACCACTAATGTATATTACAAATTAGTTATGTACAGCTTATGACTAAAACTATAACTATTCAAAACTTCAATACATTTAGAACAATAATAATTTAGGTACTTTTAGCAGTATTTGGTATAATACTGGTATAAATAAAAATAATTATTCATTTTCCGATCTAACATCTCACTGCCTTCCAAGTAACTTTATATAGCCTTTTCTTATACTACCAATACGCGTACAATAGTTTGAGAACCTCTGGTTCACAGAAATCATGGATTGGCAATGTGAATTAAATCAAATCTATGACAGAAAGCGGTGGTGGCAAAATAAACTTTCATTGGTAATTACTAGAACTAGGATTCAATGATCTAAAACCTCCAAAAAAAAAGATCAAAAAATGTACTTAGATGAACAACAAAATTTAATTTTAAAATAATTATAATTATTGATTATTATTCATTCATTTTTTATTTTACACAAAATAGGTAAAAATTTGTTTTAAGAAGTAAATTAAACAAATATATCCAAATTTGAGTTGACAATTAATTATATTAATTTTTTAATATCAATAAATTGGAGTAGGTAGTTGGGATTACCTATGAAAAACATATTAAAAAGTTTAAAATAAACAAAAATGAGTTTATGAACACAAAATTAATGTAATATTTGTAAAAATAACCATAAAAATGCAATAAAATACATTTAACAAAAAAAAAACAAAATAAAAATTACACATTGTTATATAACGAAACAAATTTAATATTGAGTAGAACGTATAACCAGGCCCAGCCGGACTGAGCTACTAGGCCACTATTCTACAGCACAGTAGGACATCTGCCTTCAATTTTATAGTAAAATACTCGAGTTTATTTAAACAATTAATGAGCAAAAAAAAAAGGTTTTTTTTTTATATTTTATCTATGGGTTGCCTGCTTATTAAGAATAATAGGCCCAGGTCCTCCCACTTCAGACCGTGTGTAGCACTTAAAGAAAATTAATGCCAAAGTCATGAAAATCCTAGCTTTGGTAGTTACATAAATAATTAAATATGTGCATCCTGTGACACCAATATCAGTTTCAAATGGTATTTCATAAGAATAAAATCTGAGAAAAGAGATACCAATAAACTATGTATTTTTTACATCAAAATACAAGGCAAATTTCAACTATCTGACTCGTATATCTAAATCTAATAGATTACCATAATCTACCACAGTATCATATGTCTAAATTAAGTAATGCATTCGTATTATTTAAAAATAATGATTGGCATCACTGTATGCATCAGTCACTCGGCCAATTATTAATGCCCCTAACTTAATTAACAATGCATATTGTTGACAATGCCAATAAATAATAGTTTAAAACTATAACCTGATGATAATATGATAAGCTATGTAAATTTAAAACGTTGGATTTTTTCTTTTATCATTAATATAAATGATGATTTAAAGTCACAACAATATTTCTCCATATATATCCTAACGTATCTTTATACAACTCAAAAAAAAGTGATTAAAATTAAAATTTTACTTTACCTTTCGATGCATAACTTGGTTATCTTTTAAGACATTGGCTATTCTTAAATGAGTTCTTCTTTGCTGTAATACAAGATTTTCAAGCGATCCTAATTGTTGATATGAAAGACTATCATTATTTGTTTCAAAGGTAGCAAAGCAATCGCGTTGTAATGCTGCTAATGGATCTTTGATAACATGATCACTACCTCTGTTTTTTAGCATACATTTTACTTTTTCACACTGTATGGAAATATAAATAAAATTTATTATTATTTTAACATATTGTAAACTATTAATATATTACCTTTAAAGTTGCAATAACAATATCTCTTGCTTGAAGTTCGCCCTCTAAATAGCTTAAAAGCTTTAATAAATCAGACTTATTTAAATCCATTTTTGGAATTTTCTAAAAACATAAAGGTTAACATTATGAGTTAAAATTGAAATCTGTAATTGTAAAACATTAGTGTACCTTTACAGTATTTTTATCACTATTCTGCTGTCCTTTGGCTTCATTTTGAGAATTATTACAGTTTATTGAATTTTCATTCTTGGTAGTCATAATGGAGAGAAATATTGATCATTATCCTAGCAAAGAATAAAAATACTTAAGGACAAAGTTACGTTTAGATGTTTAGGTATAATATACTTTATTTAATCTATAAAAGAAAACCAAAATGATATTATGGTGAATTAATTATTAATAGTAATAATCTTTTTTCAAAAACATTAAATATCAGGTACTTTATTAAAAAACAATAAGTAAATAATATAACAAATCTTATAAGTAATTCATAATAATTGAATTGTTTTAAGTGATAAGCACAGAATTATGTTACATACCATATCTAGAGCCAGACTCATACGATACCGTTATACCATTTACATATTATAAAAAGTGTAGGTATGTAAAATAAAGTTTATCAATTAGTTACCTACAAATCAGACATACTCAACAATAAACGACATGGTTTAGCGTGCATAATTAGCGACTTTGAACACGAAAAAAAGGTTTGACTAACAGATGAATCGACAGGAACGATTGTTAGAGTTGTGAATGTATTTGCTGAGCAATAGTGATCAGCAATGGTGCCTATGAAAATTGATCTAAAGGTACGGTGATCCACACCTAAAGAAACATTGTGTGAACAATGAGGGACTATGGACAGCGGTCCGGCCAAGACTGTGTGCGAACACAATAGAAATAATAACAATGATGAGTGCACACGCTCTATATCGTACAAAATCGTCACGGCAGCTATGCGCCCCAACAATACCGGAAGACAAGGAACAGAAACGACGTTGGGATAGCGTACCTCGGGTGGCGATGCGATGCACGACCACTACGGCGGGGCGGAGTTCATGCCGATGCTGGAGTGGTCGACGACGACGGGACGGTGAAACAGCGGAACCGATGAAAAACGCAGCAGCTAACGGGAAAAGAGAATTATAAAAATTAAACGGGGCGCGTTTCGAACGACCGGATGAGTTGTCACTGGATCCACCGCCGTCCGTGATCTACAAGAGACAAGACCGTCGTCATTCGCTGTTTTCACGCATCAACCCCGGTATCAATCATCCAGGTCGTGGCACTGAGGGGCGGGGCGGTGAGGTGGGCTGGCACGGAATTGATTAGACGGCCGCAATATTATTCACGACCAGGGGACCGCACCGCGCCCATGCGCTCGGATCGAAAAGTCGCCGTCGACCGGCGGACGCGGCGCGAGGACGAGCGACCGGTCGAGCCGTCCGCACAGGAGACCGGACTCGGACGCTTCGAAAACCGCGTCCGCCCAGTCCGAGCGACGGCGCGCAGCCGCGTCCGGTGCAGTTCAGCGGCGCGTTGCGCAGATCGGTGAGCGCCGACGGAGTGTGCCGATCACGCGGACCTCGTTCGGCAACAATACATGCGCC